ACACACGCGCGCACACATACAAACCCCCACCCCGCACACATACATACATACACACACACACACACACACACACACACACACACACACACAAACACACACACAAATACACACACGCACACACACAAACATTACCATTGTTACCTCATCCCCCATCCACCAATCAGACTGCACAGTTTGGGTCCCACCTTCCTCTCCAGTAGACCCCCCACACTCACACTCGCCCCTTGACCTATAGCGGCAAGAGCATAGATCCAGGCACACTGGGTGTAGGTGAGCGAGGGGGCGGAGCCATATTCCCGCATGAACGACGTCAAATAGGGACTTAAATTTCCTGTCGAGAAAAAAAATATATTTGTGTCACGACACGGTAGAATCAGGTGCTCGTCACATTTGGGGCAAGGGGCCACTCGCCTAGAGGGGCCTCCCATTATTACTTTATAGTAGCATCGTTTCAAATACATGTACTACGTGAATTGCTCTTCAGAGACATCATCAGCGACTTTGCCGCACGAAAATCGAAAAACGTTGTGGACTGGTTATAACTCCACCCTTTCTCTGACTTGAAGGGTATAAGTTTACTTTTTAGTCATACTAGATCTAGATCTAGATCTACTTCGTTTTTAAAAATGAAAAGTTACATAATTTCAACTGAATTTCTCTGTGTCAATAAAAAGATTGTAAGAACAACGTATTCATTTCACTTTTATTTCGTGATTATTATTTACACATTACAACATAGAAGAACTGTCCCTGTTCATAATTTCCTAATTAAAGGTGTCTTTATTATTTTTGAGGATTTGGGAGACTAGTCTGCCGTAGGGGGAGTTTGGAAGGTGGTTTTTGTTTGTTGTGGTAGATCTAAGCGTCTTACGGCTCTTGCAACTGCGTAATGTGGTCGTATGAACACGTGGGACACATTAAACATTTTTAGTTTGGTAGGAATTAGTTTTGAATTTAGCGCGGGTGTGTGCTGTGTTTTGTGCTGCCGGCGGTCGAGAGTTAAATATTATGTGCTAGCTAGTCATGAGTGCGGCTTTGTTTGTGTGTGTGTGTATGCGCGTGTGTGTGTGTATGTGTATGGTGTGTGTGTGTGTGTGT